AAAGTGCTGTACATGTAATAAAAACACTTTACTACAATAAGAGGGTATATGCAGGAATCCTGAAGTCAAATGTAAAACCTTTTAAGACCTTTTTTAAAAGACCCTTTCCATACATTTTAAGACCTCATCGCCACTTGGAGTTTTAACCGGTTACATTGGCGACACACGTTACCTCACATTTATTATATACAGTATTGATTGTCCTTCCTCCTTATCTTCCAACCATTTGGACGCAAAGTTGCATTTCCCCATAACGATGTTTAACAACCGGCATAAAGGGGCCTTCACACGCTATCAAGCAGTGAGCGTGCGATGTCCTGTTCAGATGACATCAAATCCAACGGGATGCCATAAATAAACTACACAGAATCACACTACACACCTACGCAATGATTACATTCAGGCAGACTGTAGAATACAACCTCTTTGGACCATATATATACTTATTGAAAACAAGCTACAAAATGTAACACCTTGGAAAATGCACTTTAATACTTTTTAATAGCCTTAATTTTCGCTAAATTTATTTATCAACTTTTAATACTTTTTAAGACCCCGCGGACAACCTGAATAACAAGCAAAGACAATAATTTACAATGGAAATATAAAAACAAAAACACAAAAAAATGTCAGGTGTCGTACTCAGCTCTGACTAGAAGGCCAGAGAGAAGAAGTGTGTCTTCAGTGAGGATTTAAAAACCCCTAGGGTCTGGGCCGACCTCACATGGAGGGGCAGACTGTTCCAGAGCCTGGGGCCAGCTGCTGCGAAGATTCAGATATAAACCAATGACCCTCAATGGGGTATGACTTTGCAACAGCACCAAGTCTACAGTTATAAATGCTGCTTTTTCAACATTTAATAACATTTTTAGGACGGGACACAATTCAAAAAGGTAATTACAAAATAATCCTGACCTGTAAATCTAGTAGCTCATGCGCTAGCCTTTCCTTCTCCATGACGAGGTACTGACGTTTCTTCTCCTGGACTTCATTATACAGAGCCTCTTCTTCCTCCATCTCCTGCAGGATCCTTGCTTCTGCCTCAGCCTTAAGCTTTGCAGTGTTGCTCTCCATCTGAAGACAAAGATTAAGGGACACTCAAAACTGCCATTTGAGTTTTTTTTTTATTACAATTATTTAAGAAAACGGATGCATTGAAAGCATGCTGTAGCAAATCAAATGTACACTAAGTTGGACAAACTCACCTCAGCTGTGAGATAGGCCAGCAGGAATGTCTGCATCTCAATGATACACTTCTCTGTCTCTGGATTTCTCTCGGGCTCTGCTGCATTTTCCATAACTGATTTCTCTTCGAGAGTTTTAGAAAAAAAAAACGTTAAAATTGTCGTCTTATTTGTAAAAAAACGTCAAACATGTTAGGAATTTTTCAATCGGTTTACCTTTAATGACTGAAATGTCAAAATTTGGTTTGAAGCAGTGTCCATGACCATCTGAGAAAGTGGACTGCAAAATACTTCTACCGAGCAATGAAGGCTCAGCTTCAGAGGACACAAGGAAAACAACGTGCTGGAGTTATTCATGGTAGGGATGGGAATTTGAAAGCAAATTTATATTCTAATATTTGACCCAAAAAACGGTTAACATATCCTATACATTTTTTAAATGTTTAAAAAAGAAAAAAAGTTGTAAATGTTCAAATAAATATAGAAACCAAAGCAAGTTTTCTTTGATATTTTTCTGAAGATATTTAAAATGGCACTGTCTTATATATTTAATTAATCAATTTGATGATATGTAATCAACTTAGGCACCCCTCACATAAAATAAAAAAAAAAATTGTATTACAATCCAAAATATTCATAACTCATATTCAAATACCTGAATCATTTTGAATATTCGATTAGTCATGCCCATCCCTAATTCATAGCTTTCTTCTCATCTATCTGTCTTTTCAAGTTGGAAAGATACACCATGCTGCTGTAGAACACTTAATATAACCATACTCTCCGATTAAAATTCACATAATTACAATTAAAAATGATCTTATTTGTCATGACATCTGTTTAATTCACAGTTATGAACATAGGAAGGCCTTACATGTAGCCTGTGGGGCCATGGAGCGTCTCGGGGGGGTGCCCACTCTCGGTTTGACTCCACTGGGTTTAGGTGAGGACGGCCTCAGCGGCACAGCAGAGGACTCGTTGGTCAGTGAGTTACTCTGTTAATGATCATAGGGGTGCAATGAGCTACAAATGTGAAATATCAGCAGTGTAAACAGACAGACACCGCAACTGCATGCATACAAGGGAGGCACGATTTAACTAATCATTTAAGAGATGATTGCCTTGGTTGCTGATTGGCTAATGGTTACATAAGCAAAAAAATCGTTATGACATCATAAAGCAGCCAAAATTTGATCAGTTCATTTTCCGACAGGTTTTTATATAAATGGATCAGGACAAAAAGAGAGGGGGTCTTTGGTCCTGAAACGTTCAGAATCTCTTTACACAGAGGGGACACATGTTTATGTAGAAAAGACAGGAAAAAGTGGATTTTGCATAATAGGTGACCTTTAAGAAATGAATTGAATATTGGCAGCATTCTATATTCTAAGTAACAAAGGCTGCCATAGTTGAATAAGCACGTGTGAAACAGATCATTACATCCAGATTAAAAAAGACAAAGGAAGATAGCACTACCTTTGAGATAGATGACTTCTCAGCAGACTGCATATATCGAGACTTGACAACATTCCCACTTGCTAAAGATTGATAAAGACATGGACAATAAAAAAGAAGAAATAAATTGAAAATTATGACGCTTTAAAGATGACAGCACATAGCAGGGCTTTATATAACTGAGGAAATGTTGGACAGAAATATTAACTGTACACTTTGCTGATGTGACAATTTCTCATGTCTTATAAATGACAGCAGTGCTGCAATAACTAACAAAGGGAACCCATGCAAATGCTTACTTTTAACAGGTTTCTTTTCAAGTCCACTGACTGTGACTTTAAAAGCATTGCTGCCACTTTTCGAGCTGAAAACAAATGAATAAAAAGTACAAGTTCAATTAAATAATGTTGAAATTAGAAAATTATCGGTTTTCTTTCATTTATAATGAAAACAGGCGAAACCGGAAGCTAAGCTATAATGTTAGCTCCAAGCTACCGATAACTTAGCCTATTGTTACATTTTAAAGTGTGCAATTGTATTAACATTTGTAGTGTTTTTGTGAGTTTAAAGTAGTGAAACAGTGACGTTTATGGTTAACAAAAGATGATAGCGTGTCATTTAAAACAGCTTAAACATAAAACTAGAAATTACACGGCACTCACTTAAAAGAAAGACATACGAGAAAGGATAACACAATGAGAAATACAGTTACCTTTTAGTGTCAGTGGTGGAACTTTTGAAAGAGCTCGGCGCTGTTGATGTTCTTCTGGACGCCATAATGTTTTGAAGCAAACCGCCCGTGTGCCAGTTTTGTCAACCGGCAGAAACAAGACGTGAATCAATGGTTCCGCAGAGACACCATTTATACGGTGGCCGGCCGCCGTATTTTTACCATACAAAAACATGAAACAAGGTCAATTTAGTTTGAAAGGTTTTTTTCTTCAAACATAATAACCTATAGGGAATAAAGTGATGAAGCTCATAGTTTAGCCTTTTTCTGCAGTGACCTTAACAATTACAGGCCAATTTATGTATACTGAACGTGTTGCATTATATTGAACAGGTGTTACTATTCAATCCAAATTCTGAGGGGAAGCCCCTCAAAATATACTATCTGTGTAGGCTATAAGGAATGCAGCTGCTGATTTGCATTGAGTGCAAGATATGCCAAAAGCTACAGTTATTCTAGAGACCACTAGATGGGTGTAAGGGTCTTCTCTGCTCTATATACAGTCTATATGGTGTCAACACACATTATGTGACAACTCTACTTTCAATCTGTACAGATTACATAACATATTATTTCTCCCCTGTGTGTCACTGTCGACAGAAGTCAACATGCATTTATTCATATTGTTTACCATTTATTTCCCTGTCAGTGTCATCAGGTGGGTAGCCTACAGCAATCCCAATCAGCAATGCAGGATTGGACATTTGTTTACACACTGAGCAGGTTAACAGATTATAACCAGGATAACAGAGATGCGTCCACCTAAGCTGCATCTGTGAAACACTTTAAACTTGAGCACCATCACACTCACATGGGAGAACAGGAAAACAGTTTGTTGTAAACAGTGAGGATTATACCAACTCGTGTGCATCTGGTTGCATGTATACCTCTTCAAATGTGTGTGTGACTATCTGCTTAGCAGGTTCTCTTACCTGGAGTTTACTGTTTGTTTGTGTGCACACGTCTTAAAGAACATAATGGGTGATGATCCCGCCTGTCTGAGCTGGCCTCGGACAACAGGAAGGACAATGAGAGGAGAGGGTGTGGATCTGAGTGGTAAACACAGGGAAGCATATACCTTCCAGACGGATGGATAAACCACCGGGAGTAGAGGGAGAAAGACTACTGCTGCCTTTTAACAAATCTCACACATTTGTGCAGAGTTTAATATTGGCTTGATTATTTGCATAGGAATGTCACCTCCTGCATAGCTTTTGCGTAATATCATGTAAATCTAATAAACAGTTGTTGAATTAAAGAGTGTATGCTGGCTAACATCCAGCTTTTGAAACTAGTTTTATTCTGACCTTTCTGCTTTAATGAATTTTCATGATAAAGGTTGAACACTTAGGCTTGGCACTCAAACAAATATCTCACAAATACATGCCTGTATTTGTATGTGTGTGTGTGTGCGCTCTCCCTATCAGTATGTGTAAAGGCCGGGTCTTATCATTGCTCTCTTCTCTCTCTCAGAGTAATAAGGCTGTGTGTCTGCATGCTGGCTGTCCATCTCTCACCACCAAGCAATGCCACGACCACTAGCTGCCTTTGAGGTGGAAAACAAGTGTTGATTATAGTGATACGTGCATATGGAGCGAAATAATGAGTTAAGGATTCAGTCAGTAAAATATGTGATTAAACCAAACAGTTGTGTTTTATTGTTGAAATGGTTTATGTTTTTACTTTTCTTTAGGGTAAAGGGACAGGATCCAGTCCAAGGCAAAAGCTGAAGGGAAAGAGTGAGAAGAGCACGTTGAAAGACGGCAAAAGAAGGACACATGGAGTCGCTGAATGAAAGTCCTTGTCTCTTTTATGAACCCTCCTTTCTTGCCTTTCTCTCTGCTCCGAAACTCTGACGTCTAACGAAGGATTTCCCTATGTCACCGTGACCTCACTGATACTCTGCTTTGCCCCTTGAAGACACTTTAGGGGGGTTAAAAATGCAAGATGAGACGGCTTCAATTCATGTTCTGCATGAGGTGAAAGGAAGGTTGTTTTCAGGTCTCCTAACGCATGTATGTACACATGACTACACACACACAGACAACCCACCCATGCAGCCCACACACCGGACCTTCTACCCTTTGCGGTAAAATGTTACTCATGACTATACCCAGTCTGCCAGTCTGGTCCACATAGCCTGAGAGGAATGCCGCAGAAACACAACGCCTCATACGTTCAACCTTATATGGAGATTTTGCAGCATTCGGTTGGATATCTGAACTAAATCAGACTGCTTTACATCTGATTCAACTGTTTTTGCCTGTGAAAGAACTTCAGCTCTCCTTGCAGACAGGTGTATGATTTCCTCTGTTTGCCCACGTCTTGGTGGCCCTTTGTTTAGAGAGAAGCTAGGGAAGGACCCAGCCTGTCAACCAGAGGCTCCCAGTGTAAAGTAGTTAAGCTGGTATGAAGTGGAGCATTAGGACAGTGTTTACTTCTAACACTCAGACTATCTGGGCAGCTCTGCTGGTCATTTTATCCCTTCTTAAAATCTCCAAACGCAAACCCTTTGGGTGTATCACGTTGGGTATGTCTGAGTGGTAGCAAAAGTTATATAAAAAATATTTTTTTTAAAAGAGAGGTGGAAGAAAGCCATTGTTTTGCAAGTTCTTAGTCAAGAGCCAAGTCCTGCACTTAAAGCTTTGAGTCCTTAACGTGTGCTCGTAAACAAATGTAGCCTAATGCCATTTTTAGTATGTTTCAGAAAATGTGAGATTGTTCATCATGTTTCTCTTCCCTAACTTTGACTGGATGCTGTTCAGTTGGTTATACTTAGTGAATGTGGGGAATTCATTGATGACTTTGTGAGTTATGGCAAGGGAAATTATTTGGTTTGTGGCTAACTTTCTAAAATAATGTACGTTTTAATCTTTGGGCTTGGGTGAAGGGATCAAGTGTCTTCAAGTCAAAAATAATTAAGCCCAAGTGAAGCTAGGAGACATTAAAGTCCAAGTCGAGTTGCAAGTCTTTTTTTGATGGCATCACATTTTTCTCATGTGTCTCAAGTCAACAAGACTCAAGAGATTCAAAGCTTTGTTGTCATGTGCACATTAGCTACGCTGTATGGCAATGAAAACCTTAAGACACAGGCTCCTGCAACAGCGTATGAATATATATAGGACATAGAACAAATAAAACAGATATGCACATATGCAAACAACACTCCTCAATGAAAATCAACAGTTATCAACACTGAAAAAATGGCTTTGTACGAAGATATAGAGACATTTTCACGAAGAAGATGGATTAACTTTGTGGCCGAGAGTTAGATGAGAAAATAACACCATTCTCCTAAACTGTAATGTTATCATCTTTTTTATGTAGCACTAGTCATTGCACTTTTGTTGACCTCAAATAAGAGAGTGGACAACAGTTGAGATGGTTGTATTTTTTCCACATAACCTGAAATATTGCAGTGATAAATTGTCTAAATGCAAAACTGCAGACTCCATCAAATGACCCGCAGCTTTTATTCCGCTTTGTCCACGTGTCGCTCACTTCCTAATTATTTAATGACAGTGCTTATCTTCAGAGGACCGGACCTCAGCTCGGTGCTCAGTGTTGTGGATGAACCTTGCAGTTTCTCTGAGCTGCAGTGCTGCAGGCTGGAGGATTTCCTACATGTGTCTTCAGGGCAGTAAAGAGTGTGTGTTCCGGCAGAAACTTTAAAAACATGCATCTTCAAGCACATCAGTACAGGTCAAAGGCTCATGTTCACCAATAGATTACTTCCTTTACAAATGTGAGACACTACCTTATTCAAAAGTAAACTCAAGAGAGACACATTTTGGATCAACCTCTTTAAGTCTACCATGAAAATATAATTATCAACATTTCCGTCCTTTTTATTTATTTAGCTAATTTTGCTGATTCATGTGTATGTATTATACATCTCTCATTATATGTATTTTGTGTGTTTTGTTTCTGTAATAAAACAGTATCTAGTTTATCTCACTTCTCTAGATGTATGTGTGTTTTGCTCATTGCTCTTGTTATTATAAATACAGTCGTTCAAGGAATGCTTTTTGATAAGTTTGGATACAATCCGATTTGACTTGAGTTGTGCAGTTGTAGGATGCATTTGATTTATTTTTTAAAGTGGATTCTTATCCTCAAAGTGTTACATAATTTCATTAAATTGAGGAGAAGGAAGACACTACATTTTAATGAGAGTTACTGTATGTTTACTGTACCTTCTGCATGAATACAGGAGTGAAGCAGGTTTTTATGAAAGTCTTAAAATTGTGCTTTTTTGCATAATGTGTATGTCGGTTTTTTCATCTATGTGAATTTTTGGAGAATGATGAGCAGCAACAAGTGTGTGTGTGTGTGTGTGTGTGTGTGTGTGTGTGTGTGTGTGTGTGTGTGTGTGTGTGTGTGTGTGTGTGTGTGTGTGTGTGTGTGTGTGAGAACCGTGTGCGGTGCTATAGCAGGGCAGTGTAGCGTGCAGCAGTGAGCAGTAATCCCTGCGTTTTCAGGAGCCCTGGCCCGTACTTGATGAGCTTGAGTAAGAAAAAGGTTGCGCTCTCTCTTGTGTTTCTCTCTCTCTCTCTCTCTCTCACTCTTTTATTCCCTCTCTTTTTCTCATGCCCCCCCCTCTCCATCCCCTGGAGCCACTTTGCGAATGAATGGATACCAAGTGTTTGCTCAGCAACTCTGCCTGTCCCTCGATATTTCTCAGGATTTCATCAAAAAGAGGATGAGCAGACCAACTGACACCAGAGACCAACAGAGACTTTAGGTTTACATCTGACTGAAAACTGGTGAATATGTCAGGGGACACATTGCTCTCTTCTGCAACTGTCACACACCTGTATTCAACGAATTAATGAAAACACATCTTATACTTCTGTTAAAAGTTGTTTGAATGCTTTCATTTTGCATTTTGACACTTCCAATCACTGTGTTTAACACGTATGTCCTAATAGGTTTACATTTCCACTAGACCCTACAATTAAATCTGTAAATGAGTGAAAATGCCTTGGCGCTATAAAACAACTAACTTAGAAATTCTGTTTGTTTGTGTTGAAGGTAGGACTTCTAAACGTATTTTTGAATGCTTAGTGTGATAGCATGTCCAGGCTATTTGCCAAGATAAATATATGAAGGATATATTTGAAGCACGATATGAAACATGTGCAAAACAACCTTTTTCTTTCAGCATAAAAAAAATAAACCCATTTTTAAATGTCATCCATTCTTAGAATAGTTTGTTTTGAATATTGCATTACATTTGACATTGCATATTCTGTGGTCAGGTTTACACTTCAAAGTATAACTCAGGCCATAATTAGAAAACAGGGACCAATACCTCAAGATAGGACAATAAAACCTACTTGGTTGAACCTTAATGGCGAGATGGAAACACAACACGCCAAGTGGCAATTATTATCCTAAATATGAACCTACATTTGCAGGGCTCCACTTTAGGGAATCCCTGCTAAATGCCTGTAACTACACTGATGATTATCCACCATTAAAAAAAAAGTGCATTGTTGTATAAGGCTCTTTTTTAGTTTTTGACTAAGGGGATACCAAATCAAGCCCAGAACGTATTAGTGATAAAGCAGAAATAGGGCATTTTCTCTTTCCTATGAATTTACCGATATTAATGTAGACGCCAATGGAGCAGAAGTATCATCATAATTTGGGTAAGGGGGGATAAATATCAGCCCTTCCCTAATCATAGATACATGGGGTGAAACTAAAGCAATGTGTTCACTGTTTCAAAGAAATGCATGTGTATGATGGTGCATGATGTACAGTTTCTGTGACAAGTGTGAAGTAAGTGCAGAGGTGAAGAGAGGTGTGAGGAGGCTCTGGTAGGGTGGGGTGGGTGTTGGGGGGTGTTTAGGAGGAGAGGGGATTATGGAGAGGCCGCAGGCCCCGAGGCAGAGGGCCCGTTTCCTGGCCTGAGCCCCTGTTTGTCCTGCCTGACCTGGCAGCTCTGGGGCCAGATCCTGCTTGGATACAGCCGCTCCCACGCCTGTCTGAAGCTGTTAGCCACCGGCTGTGAGCAGCTAGCTGGGCTTAGTGTTGTCTGAGCTGCGGCTGGGGGGAGGGGGCGACCTATCATCTGTATGTGTGTGTAGGGGGGGAACATTGTGTTGGCAGTGTGAGGATGACAGGGAAACACGCATCCAGTAAGGCAGTGGGCGGCAATGACTAATGACTTTGGTTTGATTATTGCCACCGTTTATTTTCATATCAGGCCTTTGAGAAGCACAATTAGTTAGTTTTTAGTTAGTGAAATCGGTGACATTTAATGTAATGTAATATAATGTAAGGAACTGGAAAACTTAATATACGGTTTTGTGGTGAAGAATAAGAAGTGGCCAAAAATGCTTTTGTGCTGTCCCAAAGGTGTTTAGGGGAGACACTATTCTCTAGGTGAACAGGGTTAAAATATGTACTCATATATATCAGCACAAAGTTCCCAAGTGTGTTACTTGCATTGAGAACATCCTTTTTTGTATTTAAAGTTTTCTTAATAATGTTTGAAATATGTAAATTCTATCTAGTTATTCATTAACCTTGAAAAATATGTCATGTTTAATATTAGAGTCAATGGTTTTTAGATATGTTTTTGTATCAGTGCATGATTCAGGAACTACTATTGACAGACATAAATGAGTCGTTTTAGGAATGATATTTTAATTCAATCAGGCTACAACTGTTATATGAACACATCCCTCTGGAAAATGTATAGGAGATAGGAACGACACAAAGTCAGGCGTGTGAACGTGTTGGTGAAGTGAAGATGTTTAGCTCAGAGTAGGGGGAACATTGAGAAGACCATCATTTTTACAGATATCTAAAATTCTGTAATGCCATCTTTGATGTGTTGCCCTTCTGTTATCAAATGTTAAGCAGCATGAGGATATTATCAGTCTGCTTTGGGCTCAGTCCAGACATCCTATCGCTCACATCAGTCTCCATGGTGACGTGTAAAGTGAGGGCAGCAGGTCACCCCTCTGTGTATCTTACCTTTTGTAATTAGCTTCAACCCTCTATTTGCCTAAATAATCAATTAGAAGCAGCATCCCATGCTTGTGTTGAAAGGGTGTTGTCTGCGTACCACTCGTGTGCAGAACGTTGTTTTTACTTCAGGATCCGTAAGATAACACTTCTTCTCTCTGGCTGCAGCACTGTTTGATTATCACTTTCCAAAAATGAAAATGAAATGAGGGGATATTTACTTTTCTTCCCCAAAAGCTTTGATAGCTCAATTGCTTGTTTTCAGTGGCTTGTTATTATTTTTCAATCGGTGGATTGGCTGCTGGGCTCTGTGAGTGTTGTTTCTGCCCTGGATATACAGAGAGGCAGAGAGAGCAGCGAGACACTGAAGGGGTCATCAGTGCATCTATGTTAGGGCCTCAAACACTAACATATATTTATAATAATGTTCATATATGGCGTTTGACACTTCACCAATTTCTTATGATCTACCTAATATCAATTTTTTTTAATTAATAACCTAAATCTGTAACCTGTAATTAACGCTGGAAAATAAAAGCAGTGGAGCAAAACATGACTACAAAAGGGCTAAAAGTATTAACAGGAAAATACTCTATTAAAGTTCCACCATGTTTTACTTTATTTACAATCCACCACTGGTTATATACAGTGAGCTGAAAAAAACTGACCTTTTCAAATAAAGTGTTTTTTAGTTACATAATCCTAAAATACCTTTAATAAAGTGGCATCTGAGTGCAAAGTTACTACATTAACTGTAAGCAGTTGTTGAAAGTAAATATACGTACAACTATACGTTATATTACGGATCCTGAAGTAAAAACCCACTTCTTTTCCCTGGCTTTTAAATGTGGGTTTTTATCTTACTAGTGTTTTGTATTGTTTTTACGTCATGTAGGAGAGTTTTTCAGTCTGTGGCTCTGATCTGGTTTCATCCGTCTCATGTTTTACATTTGTTTTTCGTGTCCTGTCGGTTTTTTATGTATTTATGCTATGTTTTTTTATACAGTTGTTGATGTACAGCACTTTGTTCAACTCTGTTGTTTTTAAATGTGCTATAGAAATAAAATGGATTGGATTGGATTACCTCAAAAACAGTACTAAGTACAATTTGGAAATATTTGTATATCTTTTGCCACTTTATACTTCTACATATTGACAACATGGTAAATGTAACTTCCCTGTGTATTTCACATCTTTAGTTACCAGCAGATCAGAATAATTTATACAAAATATAAATTAACTTATACATTTAGATATATTATTATAAGTTAAGTTACTAAGGAGTACACACAAAGAGCTCCAAATTGACCAGCTGCAACATAAACACTAATTAAAGCATGATTAATTAATTTGATGATACTTGATTCTGAAATGGACAATTATGCATACCGACTCATGTCACTTTTTATACTATATTTTGATGCTTGTATACTTTTTGTCCTTTAACTTGATCAAGAGTTGGAATGCAGGACTTGTACTTAATTTCCACACTGTGGTATTGCTACTTTTACTAAAGTATTATATTTGGGTACGTTTAAGACAACTGGCTCTAATTTTGAAAAATACCCATAACTGCATAACTGTGAGGTCACGTGATTTTCCTGTCAAATTAAAATGATCTTTGGGGTTTTGTCCTCCTGCCTCCATCGTCACCAGCGAGCCAGTGGCGTCATTCGCTCCTCGCTTTATAAAACTGTCAACGCCTTCCTCTCACCTGGACTGACACACACCACCCAAACACCACCAGCACGGAGCAGGACACCAGACTCTGGTGAACTTTACGCACACAACTTGCTCCTTTTATTTCGACTAAAGAAGACTATCAAACTGGCTTTTTTATGAATCTGGCAAATTACTCTTACTTCTCTGGCATGTGTAACATGACCGCTGAGACGCAGCACTCGCCTGCGGAGGCCAGTCCTGTGGTCCTGTCTCCAACCATGAGCCTGGACTCTCCGCTGCAGGCTGGCCCACCTCTGATGCTGCAGGCCCGGTCAAAAGACAACGTGTTGATCAAGTCCGAGCCCCGGGGAGGCAGCAGCCCAAACACGGAGGATGGAGCCGCTTTAGGGCAGACTGAGGAGCACCTGCCCACCGGGAGCCGCCGCAGGAAAAGGCCGGTGCAGCGGGGGAAGCCTCCCTACAGCTACATCGCTCTCATCGCCATGGCCATCGCCAACTCCCCCGAGAGGAAGCTCACCCTGGGGGGCATTTACAAGTTCATCATGGAGCGGTTTCCTTTCTACAGGGAGAACTCGAAGAAGTGGCAGAACTCCATCCGGCACAACCTCACCCTGAACGACTGCTTTGTTAAAATCCCCCGGGAGCCTGGCAGGCCAGGTAAAGGTAACTACTGGACCTTAGACCCCGCTGCTGAGGACATGTTTGACAACGGGAGCTTTCTGAGGAGGAGGAAGAGGTTCAAGCGCACAGATGTGAGCACCTACCCGGGGTACATGCAGAGCTCCAGCGCCTTCACCCCGACTCCTATGGGCAGGCCCACGTACCCAAACACCCTTTACGCAGGGATCGGGTCTGGGTACGGCTCCCAGCTAAGTGCCACCTCCCCGCACCCGGCCATGCTGCACCACTACCAGGCCTCCGGACAGGGACAGCCGCGCATGTTCAGCATCGACAACATCATCAGCCAGCAGTCCGGGGGAGACCTCAACTCCCAGGGGCTGCAGGGGATGGGACTAGGAGGAGGGGATATGGGCACCATGACCTCCAGCTGCTCGGTCACCGGCACCGACCCGTCTGCTTGCTTCCAGAACCAGGCTGGGAACCCCTCGGGGAACATGCTGAGCAGAAACAGTGGGAATCTCTCCTCCAACCTGAGCGCAGGGTATCCGTATTCCTCCTCGGCCTCCCCTCCGAACCTGCCCACCATGACCCAGTCAGGGTTCTCCCCCGGCAGCTCTCAGGTGTATTGCTCCGGGAACAGGCTGTCCCTGCCGGCCCTGCGCCCCGGGTCCTGCGCGGAGCACACGGACCAGCTGCTGGGCCTCTCCAACCCCATGAACTCTTACAACAACTCCTACATGAGGCAGGCCAACTTCGCGTCAGGATTAGAGCGGTATATGTGAAGAAAATCCTAATTTATTATAGGTTTTTATAGATCAATATATAGAAATATGCCCTCAATGACCCCATGAAAACATAGGACAGTAAAAACTTAAAGAAGAATATTATTAGGATATCAAAGCCTCACGTAAGGCCTTTCAAAATGTCGTATGGCCTTATGTTGTGTAAATGGCAGATTTATACATTCCTGTGAGAGATTCGGTGATGTTTAGTTCGCCATAATAAGAACGAAAGACATTTTGTGACACAATACCGAGCCTCATGATAAAACATTCCTATTTTAAAGCCATTTAGATCCGTTTGACACATTCCATGACTGTATGTCAGAGTTTTATGTATTTTGTGCCACATTTCGTTTATTTTGTGTGTTTTAGAGTACGTTTTTTTTTTACATGTTTTTGCTTTATCATTCAATTTAATTCTGCTGTTTTCCATGTAAATAGTTTGTTGATTTATAAAAAACTTTATGAAAGAAAAGAGTGTTATTGTAGACGACAGGTCGCCTGAAATAAATTCATTTTTACAGAAAAATCTATGTGGTCTTTTTTGCTCGATCATTCAAATGATTTTCTTGATAAAAAACAATGTATTGATCTTGTTTGGTTTTAGTCCAACATCACGTCAATGTAGCTTGAGTAGTGGTAGAACTTTTACTAAATGAATAGGCATAAGTCACAATTATAAGATGAATGGTTTAATTTAGAAGCAGATTGTATTACACTATTGTTTTTTGAACATATTCAAGACTAAACCAGCTCCTAAATATTTTCCTTTCAATTTAAAAGAAACTGTAAGAGTCAATGTGTTTACTTTTTATTATAAAACCTTCTTAGTGAAACGCCACAAGATTAGAAATGTATATTGTACCTCTACATTTTGATATTTTCCACAAACACCAATTTGATTCAATATAAAAGCCAAAAGGTTTTTTAATGTACATAGGGTTTTATGACCAAACTACACACAATGTAGAAATAGACAATTAGACACAAAGATAATCTAGACAAAGGGACAGCCATTATCATTACACATGAATCAAATCATTTAAATAAGATCATTTACATTCAAATCACATTCGGAATTATACATCAAACGTTTGGACTGTTGAAGTCATTATCCGTGTCAGGTTTTAATAATCACTTTTACACACTGGAGTCATCTAAATAGTCTTTGTCATAATTTCACTTATAGTATAGTCGTTTTTTCCTCACAAAGAATTCCTTGAAATCCATTGATATATAAAGTTCTTATTCAGCTTCTATTAACTAATTTAACTTGTCTCTTATATATTTACTGAATATTTGTACCTTTGAAATATATTTTTTATTTGTCAGTTTTATGTTGCCAAAAATATTTGTGGATTGATGGATGCAGACAAGATGTGTCATCCATCATTTCAAAAATAACAAATCTAATCATTGTTTACTATTATCAACAATTTAATCTTCTATATTTAACGTGTGTTCACATCACGATGTTGAGAGAAAGACAGTGTGAGTGAGTGAGTGGGAACACTATTACATATTTAATGTCATTTAAAATTTAAAAAAACTCTGAGTTTGTATTTGCTCAGGTTTTTAATTATTCAACAATATTATGACATTTAATTTGCCTGTGTAATGTTTGGTTCATAGGGACTGATTGAGGTAATGCTGACATTTCTGAAGTCAATCACCTCCAGTGTAAAGACTGTTTCATATGCAACGTGTTAAATCGAGTCAGCTGAGACTGTCACTCCACCTGCTGCAGAACCATGGCACAAATATAAAAAGGAAAATGGAACACATTTGCCTCAGGGCCACCTGGTGGGTTAACCTGACCATTCACTAATTATATAACCAAACACGGGAAAGAAGCTGATGGAATGTCACAGCAAATGATCGAGCATTGTTTGTTTAAAGGTTCATGTTGTTCCCTGTGATTGCTCTTTAGTCTATTTCATAGCTGCAATTCAAGACTAAGATTATTAATTAAGGCAACGTACTGATTGTACAAATCAATGAATGTGGAGAACAATTGAATTACTTTCTTAATATGACACAGTTAGAGCTCAAAGGAGATGTCGTATACAGTATGTTTACAATTATGGGCTAGATTTTGCAGCCCAGGAAAAGAGCTTCTTAAAAAAGTAAATATTTGGATACAAGACGTAGATTGGTTTGATTTACGGTCTTATAGTAAAGACCCTGAAGCCTGATTGCATTTGACAATTTATACACACATAGTTCATGACCTGGGAGCTTTACAGATATTTAGATGTCAGCAGAATCACATTTAAAAAGTAGCGCACATTCATAACCTCATTGCTTCTGTGCAAAACAACTGGTTGTTCAGAACAAGTTGGAAATGAAGAAAACAGGTGTTTGCTTTCCACCACCAGGTGGCAGCAAAAGCAAGATGTTCAGCCTGACTGTTTTCACTCAAGGATTTATTTTGGCGGCTTGCAGTGAAATGTATGTCTTATGATGAATTACACATATTCTGCTTTCATTTAGCAGGTAATTAATTGCTTCAGTAAGTGCAGATAATAATTCCCTGTGTATGCTCAAAATGCTATTTTGTATATCTACAATCAGGTAGACTGATTCAACTGTTTTTGACTGTATAACCTTTATGCAAAGAGGCAGCTGTAGCATTTGAATACAAGTGAAAGGTAGGCTCTACATCTGCTTTAGTTTCTCATACTGAAATAAAAGTATTTTTGAAATGGTGTTATTTAATATTATGTACTGTCACATGGAATTGAATCAGTCTGCCGCCAAGTACTGTAGGCCTACTATCAAATTATTCACATTGAGATACTTTGCTTTAGTCTTTTGTTTACATGCCACAGACTGCACTACTTGTCCGACTAATTCTGTACCTTTCACCCCAACAATTTGACAATAAACTAGTCACATTAATATTATCACAAACAAATCTTAAATTGATCAATGGAAAGAATAATTAATTTATCGATGATTAAATTGTATGCTAAGTTGCAGGTGATCGCTCAAAATCAGCATCACCTCAGATAAAGACAGTAAAATCCTGCTTTTAAATAAATGTATGGCCATTATAGCAGTTAAATTAGAAAGGTCTTTGTATTGAGTATTTTTCAATGAAATACCTCATTATATACCTAATTATTCCGTACTTTAAACATTTTGTTTGCAGGGCTTTCACTTGTTCCACAGTATCTTTACAGTGTGGCGTTAGTACATACTTAAGGTGAGATCTGAGTTCTTCCTCCACCACTGGCTCACTTAATTTGAAGCCCTAGTCCAGAAGCAAATTACATCGAAATTCACATGTCAGTTTTCGTGATTACATATACATCACACAAATTAAAAACTAAATGACATATACATTATATATTGTTAAAGTATTGTCCTATTGACATGGTGCTACTACTTTTTATTAACAGTAAGTTGCCTTGAATGTTTTATGCCCATGTTTAACACACTGGCGTTTACTGTCATCACAACAGCCATCACTGTCAGGATCTATTTTCTCCACTACCAGCAGAGGGCGCTCCAACACCAACAAACAGGAGACGCTCCACATCACGGATCGATCATAAGAGCCAAAATTCCACTGAACCTCTGGAAACTTAATGAAAATTAAATATCCCACAGCACATGTTTAGTCGCTTATTATATTTAATTAACTCTCTGATCGATCAAATAATGCATTCCGAGCCAGGTATCTCAACCAGATTTAACGAATAAATGTGCAGGTTGGTACGCTGTGGAACTTTTAAAGAAGTACCCTCATAATTAAGGTGCTGTAAATGAAAATAGGAATATAATTTTGTTATATGATGTATTTATATATTATGAATATTTTATTGATTATTTGTCACATCATAGTGGTTATAGATATTCAAACATATTCCAAAAGAGTGAATTATAATTCAACAAGTCACAACTAGCCACCCGGATTATAGACAGTGGGGAAAACGAAGAGATTACTCCAACCAAATAAAATACCTGGGTACTGTTTTTCATCCCATGTCTCCAAAAATGTGTTGAATACAGGTATTGCAATTTAAAAATATTCTTTAATATGGGAAAGTAGTGTGTGTGTGTGTGTGTGTGTGTGTGTGTGTGTGTGTGTGTGTGTGTGTGTGTGTGTGTGTGTGTGTGTGTGTGTGTGTGTGTGTGTGTGTGTGCGTGTGTGTGTGCGTGTGTGGCAGCTGTCAGTGCGTCTATTTCATATTTTAAAAGGCTCGCGACAGGCAGGTCAGGCAGGGGGACACAGGGTTCAGTCAGGGCTTCTTTTTAACAAGTTCCATGCTTAACTTGCACTTGATTCCTCAGGGGAAGTATTTTCCTTCAATAAATGCAAACATGTACAATTGCTCTGGACTCCAGAATAAAACGCCCAGTCCCCTGACAAGCTGTTGTTTGACTTTAAGATGAATGGGGTGCTGATTTAAATGCATTACAATAACTCGGTGTTTCTGCAGCGTAATGAACTGGAATGTGAGTCTGCTCTGAATAACACACACATTACACACACTTTACACATTGTCATCTGCTGGCCCTTTCACTCCTGACGAAGACGGATTGGAGCAGGTTGTTGCAGCTGACTGTGTACGCGGGGAATTATGCAGAAAATGCAGACGGATAGTGTTGTGACTTCTTGACAAGGAAAACACAAAACCCGTGAGAAGTGACCCGGGAGTCAGGAGGCTGGCCAAAAGCTCTAAGGGGGATTTAGGGATAAAATCAGATAATTTATTAGGGACAGAGAAGAGTTACGAGTGTGTTCATGTCATGAATGAAACAAATGCTAATGTAGGAGATCTAACTATCTAAACTGACATTTAAATATTTGTTAAAAGTCAATAAAAATAGTTATTTCAGGGATAATTTCATATTTATTATAGGCTTTATTTTTACAGATTATAGGCAAACACATTATATATTTCATTTCCGCAACAGCATTGCGTTTGAAAAGCAACAGAAGTACAATGATGATACATTTACTATCACTAATAATAGTAGATATAATAAAATTGATCATTATAATAATGATAGTAATTGTATTTCAGGCTCTGCCTTTCATGTTGTGAGGAGTTTATTCTTCAGATATTTTATAATTTAATTTGGCTTATATTTAAAACAAAAGGGTGATTTCATTTGATTCTCAATATGCATTTCTATTATGTTCTAACGAATTGGTAGGATTTTCATAAAAAAGTGATCGCAGCAGATATTGCTCACTATACCCTGCAGAAAAAAGAAAAAAGCCATTTTAATAGACTCACGCAACCTCAAGTTTAGAAATAAAACAGCATTTGAATTGATTCAATTCGTTGGTTTGTCAGAGGAAAACAACGTTTTAAATATTTGTAATTAATATTCTAAAATTATTTGTGCAATGATTTATATTAATAAATACATGAATTGATCAATTACAGTATAAGGTTGATCTCCAATATGTTATACATAAACAAACCTGAAAATTAATCCATATGCATACGAAAAATGTATTAAATTAAATGTATTTCTGGATCTCTATATTAGTTTTTGTTTTAACGAAATGTGTTTTTAGATTCAGGAGAAGATCAGAATATCACTTTCTGCAGGGCAATTTGCTCCAGTTCCTGGTAACAGTGACTCAAAGACCACGTGATCAGCGTGCTCCTATAAATACCCTTTGAGAGCTAAGGAGGATAGTGTGATAGTCTGTCTGGATACCTACCCAACCCCGTGCGTAAAATATATTTTGGAAAGACAGTTAGGATATCCAAAAGAAGCTTTTTTCAAACGAGCTACCGCATAAACTGATCACAGACGGAAACAATCGCATTTCAAGAAAACACGAATCCAGATTGGAGGAAGACCGTTGAACTTTGACTGTTGTTTTTTACGGCTGAAAGTCAGAAGTTTCTCGGCCCTGCTTGACAAGCCCCGGACGACCAGGACTCTCCAAATCCACTGCAGGTCAAAGAGTTCTTTATCTTTTCAATAGATTCTAGCCATGTGTGCATTCAGTAGTTGGAGATAAAACTGCAGCAAAACTCTGGTGTGGTTGTGAGGGGGGAGAGGGAGAGTCAGTTCCTCGCCGGACCAGAGGAGGGAAATCTGGGAGAGAGGGGAAAGAGAAGCGGCGTCTCCGAGGATGACTTTAGGGACGGATATGTCCGACAGCTCTGCATTGTCCGAAGATTTGGACATCGACGTGGTTGGGGGTGACATATCCGTGGGAAAAGACGGAAAGTACATCCACGATGAGTTTGACAATGACTCGGACGATAATTACTCCCAAAACGCGGCCGAGAGGGCTTCCTCTCCCGGGCTCAGCAGCTCCGACTGTCCGTCAGACCAGATGGGCTCCGGCGCAGAGGTCGGCACTGCAATAGGGGACAAATCCAGAAAAAACGCACTTGTGAAGCCCCCTTACTCTTACATTGCCCTGATCACCATGTCCATCCTGCAGAGCCCCAAGAAGCGCCTCACTCTCAGCGAGATCTGCGAGTTCATCAGCAGCAGATTCCCCTACTACCGAGAGAAATTCCCCGCGTGGCAAAACTCCATTCGCCACAACCTGTCCCTAAACGACTGCTTTGTGAAAATCCCACGAGAACCAGGCAACCCCGGGAAGGGCAACTACTGGACTCTCGACCCGGATTCCGCAGACATGTTCGACAACGGGAGCTTCTTGCGCAGGAGGAAGCGCTTCAAGAGGCACCATGCTAACGAAATCCTCCGGGAGGCTGCTGGCTTCCTACCCGGGTTTGGATACAGCCCGTACGGATACAACTATGGAATCCAGCTGCAGAACTTCCACGCAGCCCACAACCCGTATCACCCGCACCACCACACAGGGGGCTCATTCCCGTTCCCCAACGCCCACTGCACCTTGCCCTCATCAGCCTCCATATTCCAAGCGCCGCATCACCTTCCCTCTCTTTTAGGGGCAGATTTAAGAAAGCCCTTTTACCCTCAGCTCAGCCCGTCCCTGCCGCCTCTCAAGACGGACTCCAGCGCCCCGAGTCGGCCTTCTTTCTCCATTGACAATATCATCGGCGCGGCCCACTCCACCGCCTCTTCCTACAGCGTGCCGCCGGGCAGCCAGGCTCAGATCCTGGCTATCCTCACCCCAGCACTGGCCTCTGCTTCAAACCATTTGACCCTATCACAGGACAGCATATTACAACCAGGGCCACAGACATTTTCCAGCAAAAACCCCAATATGAACACTTGTCCTTTCTAAAAAGAAACAAAAAAATGTCAAGAATGAATTTATTAAAATGCCAAATTGTGGCGTCGTCTTAAGTGAAGGTAGGCTGTATATTGTTGGTAAAAAAAAAAGAAAAAGAATGTTTTGGCTCTCCACATTTCCTAACAATGAAAAAAGGAGAGGTTTATTTATGGTTTGTAAATATGTGTATAATATTCAGAGACAAAAGCAAGAGAAACTCGGAGGAGGCTGTTTTTAACTGGCCTGTAATCTGGCCTCCATTTGTCAATGGGAGAAAATAGATCCTGTTATTTTATGTGTCAACCATGGCTAAAGAGGATGATTTCCGGCTTTTTGAAAATATAATTGAGAATTTTAATATGATTTATATTGTTTTTATTTCGTGCGTCGTGAGAACATGGCACTGTTGTTGTTGATAGGCTGACAGAGACGGCGAACTCAGGTTTTACTTAGAAAGCACATGGAGACAAAAGGGGGGGTGGAGGGGGGGATTCTGACACAAAAATATCAATTTCCCACTATCAGCCCCCCCCTCCCCTTCTCCCCTGGATCTCCTCTACACAGTGAATTTGTGATCATTTCATGTTGTCGGTGGACACGTAGGCTATGTGTTTTTTTGGTATAAAAGAGCCCATTACCTCTCTCAATCTTTTAATTGTTGTTCGTATCTCACACTTTACTCTGTGAAACATACAGTATGTCATGTGTTGCCAATAGAGAGAGACACCTAAATGTTCATAGGTCATTTTTTGTTGTTGTAATGACAAGAATAATAAATGTTTGTGAATTTGAAAAGAAAGGAAAAGAAAAATCGTTATTTTTTATTGCGTTGAAAGTTAATGAGCCAGGGTTACATTTAAGGTTAAAAAAAGTGTATTTAAAATAAATATGTTTCTCTGATTTTGGAAAAGAAAAAGTTAAAATATTACAAATTAATTGAAGAGGTTCCTTCATTATAAATATTAGGCATTTTTTATTACTTTTTATAAAATATTATTGAGTTTCCTTGTATTAAAACGATGTTTCTAATATGATACATGTACATTTTTTTTCACATTAAGGTAATCTAAATATTTATTTTTGTTCTAATCATACAGCTTCTTAATATAATGAATGCATGTGGAAAATAACCAATTAGGACGATAAACAGACGAAACACTTCCATCTCTCAGTAGTACAGTTAATTAAGACTCTTTTAAGGTGTGAAATCCGCACAAAATCCAGTTTAAATATTTAAAACTCGACAAACAGCAATGAATATCACGCAACAGTGCGCAAGTATTCCTCTTGTGTGGCTCCTTCGCTCGCTTGTTAAGGACCATTTTCCCTGCGTGTTACAAAGGCCCTAAATGAATGGGCACGTTAGCAGGCCTCGGCGGTCTGTAATTGAAAGTGAACAAGGATATACCCACGGTCTTTTGGGGCTTTCGTTGCCAATTTGTAGCAGCATTTTTCATCAGGCTCCTAATCCACCATAATGCGGCTTTTTGGGTCGTTTGTTGATGTTGTCAGTGCGGACCCCTGGCCCACAGGAGTGAATGTGCGCACAGCGAGCGGTCCCCTGTGAGACCAGCCACACACATTTGGAGCCTGAAAAGCAATCTTCTCTAAAGGCTCTCGGTTTGCTCCGCTTTCATGTCATCTGTGTTGTCTCGGGATCCAAATAAAGGAAGCAGTGGGACTCGGCCGGCCACAGAAAACAGGCCTATTGGTCTTTTTCAGAGTTGTTGGAGCACATGTTTCCAGACAGAAGGGCATGTAAAGCCTCCTTTATTTACCAGATCTGTGTGCAAATGGTTAAATTAGTTTGTGGGTGTTTTGACAGATGATTATTAAGGATGAAGGGTGGGAGGGCTGACTCTGTTTTCCCTCAGCTCAAGTCTTTGAAACGAAAACCAACACATGACTACTTTCTTTATCCAGAGCCGCCTTTATGTCCTCTCTTTTCCTTTCCCTGTAGGTGCAAATTGGCCAATTGATAAATATCACGTACGGATTTAAGGAATAACTCTGAGGATAGAGCTTCTCCCGCTGTATCCGTGCTGTTAATTGATATCCTGCATATATAATTTGCAGAGTAAATGAGGTGGAAAAAAACATTAGCAGCCCATTGAAGTTTTCTGTGCACACTCGCTCTGACAGGGAGTCATTACGCACCGCATCAGTCCATTAAAATCCACATGAAGCGTTTGCAGAGGTGGTTAAAAAGCATTTAAATAACGGCAGGAACGAAAAGTAAGCCAATAAAAAATCATGGGACACAAAGCATTACGCACACACACAAGGATGCACCGGCTTAGCAAATGGACGATTGGAGACTGAACCCATTTTATTTTTACAGCTTTTCAGCTCTTTTACGCACCAATGCTGTCCATCTCTCAGATTACAGACCATAATAGACCTGGGCAGTAAATAAAAACAATTACAATTAGCTGCACCTTTACCAGCTTTGATAAACACATCAATGCATCAATAATTATAAACAAAACATACTGCAAATTATTCTGAAATGGACCAATCTGCATAGTGAGTACTTTTACTTTTTGTACTTTCAGTATATTTACATGCCAATTATTTTCTACTTCTGCACATTTTGAATGCAGGACTTTTACTTGTAACAGAGTATTCCTACACTTTGGTATTTCTTTTACTTAAAAGATCCGAGTTCTCCCACCTCATGGCTTTAAACCACAAACACTGCACGCATCTTTCAAACGCCTTTTTAATTTCTCCATGTTCGTCCTGATATGATCTCATGTATCCAGCCCTCAGAAGGATCCTTGTTTCCCTATGGGATGTCACTTTAGGACCACACATAGCTTCAGCGTGTCTTTATTTAGGGATCACGACATCCGTCATTTTACGTGACGTTTTCTCAAGCGACATAATGAGCGAGTGATATGTGAAGTGACAGCCAAATGACTCGACAGTCAGCAAAAACACATTTATTCATTTCGAGCCAGTTCCCATCTCCGTGTAACTGTTCCCATATGTCCTGCTTGGAAATAAGCGGATTTAAACTCGTGCCGCTGTAATGTATTTATGGACGTAAATACAGAGGAGGAAGAAGAGCTTAGATCTTTTAGTTCAGTAAAATGAGTAATACCACGAGGTACGAATTCAGTCCTGCATTCAAAAATAAGCAAAATTACACAAATATTAGCACCCAAAAATAAAGGGCTCGTTTTTCAGAATTACCATTTCATGTTATATCACTCAATCATACTTAGTGATAGTGACCCATTAGCCTAATGTATCCATCCTGTAATTTTGCAGCTAATAACGGAGGAGCTGAATAATTTGTATACTGTATTCTTATTAATAATATTACATCATAATCCAGATTTATATTTTGTATTATTTATCTAAACAAAGAAACAATAGTGTTGTCGAATAAATGTAGTGGAGAAAACGTAGGCTATTAAATAGCATAAAATGTATAGGCCTACCTTAAAAAGAGTTACTTTCCCCCTCTGCTTAAATATCAACATTAAAGTAGATTATCTTTCAAATATATATATTTCTTTCATATTGCGATAAAGTCATAGGAATGACAGATCGTGTTATTGTTATCATTATTATCATCATCAAATTATCGTTATGGGTCTCGTGTCAAACAGCGCGTGACAGCAGGGGTTTAAATGAAATCGTTTTGGTTAAATCTTCCCTCTGCATGCTGCCAATACCGGAACGTCTCTGATCGATACACTGCACTGTGTCTTCAAGGACAGAGGCTGCTGACACTGTGTGTGTGTGTGTGTGTGTGTGTGTGTGTGTGTGTGTGTGTGTGTGTGTGTGTGTGTGTGTGTGTGTGTGTGTGTGTGTGTGTGTGTGTGTGTGTGTGTGTAGTGTAGTGTGTAGTGTAGTGTAGTGTGTAGTGTAG